TTTAAATAGCCCCCGGAGCCCCCCGCTACCCCAGGGCTCTGGGGGCTATTTAAAAGGGCCCGGGGCTCTCCTGCTTCTACTGCCCCGGCCCTTTAAATAGCCTTGGGAGCCCTGGGGAAGCGGTGGGGCTCCAGCGGCTATTTAAAGGACCGGAGCGGCAGAAGCAACGGGAGCCCCAGACTTTTTAAATAGCCCACAGAGCCCCGCAGCCCTACCCCAGGGCTCCAGCAGTGGGGCTCTGGTGGCAATTTAAAGGGCCGGGGACTCCAGCGCGGGGCCCTCTTAGGCGCGGGGCCCAATTCAGGGGAATTGGTTGAATCGGCCTAAAGCTGGCCCTGATGTGTACAATATTAAATTGTTTGTTTAAAACTCATACTGTGTATATGTGTGCGTGTGTGCGTATCTATCTATTTATAGTCTTTTGTCTGGCCAAAAAAATTTCCCTGGAACCTAACCCCACTTCCCCATTTACATTAATTCTTATGGGGAAATTGGATTTGCTTAACATCGTTTCACTTAAAGTCGCATTTTTCAGGAACATAACTACAACAGTAAGTGAGGAGTTATTGTAATGTTTTTGCCTTTAAAGACTGATCTAAAAAGGGAGCAGTTAGAAGGCAGAACTAGCTCTGTATTTGGTACTTTTCTGTCCTATTAAGCATTGCTTGAGTCTTTTAATCGGCAAACATCCAACAAAAAGATGTTTCCAAACTCCTGACAAAGTTAACCTGGGTGTCTAAGTTAATGGATTTCTTTGCTAATGTACGCATAAAAGGAAGAAAAATTCTAGTGGTAAGCGGGTCTCTTACATTTTCACATGTCTAAATGAAAGCTGTCATTTCTATTACTATATATGGAAATAGTGGGATGCTATTCCTTTTCATTTTCAACCAGATAATCCCATGTTGAATTAGATCCAGTTAGCTTAGTTTAGATCAAACTTCAGTATATGGTAGCAAGGTGAAGAAAACAGTTTGCAGCACTGCTTAGCAGTTGTTAAGATCTGTGGTTTGCACAATGATGCTTGGAAATGAGATAATGCTCAAAGCAGAAGTGAGTATCGTATATAGTTTACATTCTGATATTACTTACATAGTGTGCAGATTTTGTATGAATAATAATGTTTTGCATGTCTATAGTGCAGGGGTGGGCAAACTTTTTGGCCTGAGGGTCACATCTGGGTGGGGAAATTGCATGCAGGGCCATGAATGTAGGGCTGGGGCAGGGGGTTGGGGTGCGGGAGGAGGTGTGGGAGGGGGTGCAGTGTGCAGGAAGGGGCTCAGAGGAAGGGGTAGGTGCAGAGGAGGGGTGCGGGGTGTATGAGTGGGCTCAGGGAAGGGGTTGGGGTGCAGGGGGGGCTCAGGGCAGGGATGCAGGGAGGAGTGTGGGAGGGGGCTCAGGGCAGGGAGTTGGGGTGCAGCTGGGGTGCGAGGCACAGCAGGGGGCTCAGGGCAGGGGGTTGGGTCGCAGGAGGGGTGTGGGGTGTGGCAGGGGCTCAGGGCAGGGGTCAGGGTGCAGCAGGGGTGCGAGGCACAGCAGGGGGATCAAGGCAGGGGGTTGGGGTGCGGCAGGGGGCTCGGTGCAGGAGGGGTGTGGCAGGGGATTGGGGTGCGGGGTGCAGGAGGGGTTCGGGGTGCAGGCTCCAGCCTGGCACCACTTACCTGGAGTGGCTCCTGGGTGGCAGCGGTGCGCAGCGGGGCTAGGGCAGGCTTCCAGCCTGCCCCTAGCCCCCGCACCACTCCCGGAAGTGGCCGGTACCACGTCCCTGTGGATGGGGGGGAGGAGGCAGAGGGCTCCATGCGCTGCCCTTGCTTGCAGGTACCTCCCCTGAAGCTCCCATTGGCCATGGTTCCCCGTTCCCGGAGCCCTCTGTCCCCCCTCCCCCAGGGCCTGCAGGGCCTGCAGCCTGCAGGATGCAGTGCTGGCCACTTCAGGGAGTGGCGCAGGGCCTGTGGCACCACGGGGCTGGCAGACCCGCGGGCCAGATCCAAACTCCTGATGGGCCAGATCTGGCCCGCAGGCCATAGTTTGCCAACCCTGCTATAGTGCCTCCTATACAATGATTATCTGAAAGCATTTTGCAAGCAATAATGAATTTACTCCAACACCCTATAGAGTAAATCTTTGTATTCCCATTTTGAAGATGGGTCACTAGAGTCAAAGCTTGAGACCAGCATTTGCAAACTTGGGTACTTAAAGTTAGACCCTATAAACCATTTTTAAGCTTCTGAATAAAAGTGGCTTGATTTTTCAGAGTTGTTTCACAGCTTCTAATGAGTGGCTTATGTACAAATAAAAATCGAATCTGTGCACACAATTGGCACTCCATTTCTATCACCAGCCCTACGAAGTCATGGCCCCATTGAAGCCAAAAGCAAAGCTCCCACTGACTTCAACAGGGCCAGGATTTCTCCCCTGTTTTTAGGAAGTTAGCTTCTGATCCTAGTTCACGGAAGTCAATGCCTGTCAGTGGGTGCAGGATTAGACCCGTATTGGTTAACATCAGTCCAAGAGATCTCAGATATAATTTTGCTGTATATGAGCTTTGAACAATAGGGACTGCATAAACAGGAAAATTATAAAAAAAAAAAATTCTGATCTCCACGACATGGACAACATCATTTTATATGGTTGTACATCATCAAGCAAATGGGACCTCAGTCCTACAGCAATAGAAATAATAATTTGTTGTTGCTAAATAAATACTGAAGAAATTCGAAATTAAACCTATTTTTCTTCCCTAGAATTAAGTCCCTCCAAATACATGTAAATGGGAAACAAATTCCAGAGAAAATCTGGTGCACACACTATGCTAAACATCAAAAATTCTTGTGTATAATAAGAGTGAGCAAGAAAGCAATTTTTCAAGACAGCTTTTCTGACCTCCATTGATAAGGATCAGCCTGAAGGAAACACAGTGTGACACTCTGTACCTCGAGGGAACACCCAGCACCCGCATGTTCATCCTTGTAATATGATTGCGTGGTATCCAATGCAAAGTCTGTCATGTTGGGTGTCTTTGGAAGGCTCATAATGCACTGAGCATTGTTGTTATAGTGATGTTCTAGTGATTGTTGTTATAATAATGTTATAGGTTGCATAAGCATCAACTTCCCCTCTGCCTGGTGGGTGCTCGATACCCCCCACACCCCTGGCCCTGCCTCTTCCCGTCCCTGCATTGCCCTCACCCCACCCCCATTCCACCCCCTTCCTCCAAGTCCCCGTCCCTGCCCTGCCTCTACTCTGCCTCCTCCCCCGAGCGAACCACGTCCCCGCTCCTCCCCTTCCCTCCCAGAAAGTCCTAAGCACCACCAAACAGCTGTTAGGCAGCAGGGGGGCGGGAAGTGCTGGGAGGGAGAGGGCGGAGCAGGGATGCGGCACGCTGGGAGGGGAGGAAAAGGAGGATAGGAGTGGGGAGCTTGGTTGCCGGTGGGTGCAGTGCACCCGCTAATTTTTCCCTGTTGGTGCTCCAGCCCCGGAGCACCCACAGAGTCAGCACCTATGATAGGTTGTAATTTCATGTATATGGTTATGAGGCTGAAAATGTGTCCTCATGTTTTAAAACAAGACCAGGCAAAAACTCTCCAAGAGCAGAGCGGCAGTTCACACCTCATCAGGGCATGTATGGGACAAACTCAGCCCACCTCACAGGAACAAAGGACACTGGCCTAGGCAGCAACAAAGGATCTCTTGAACTCTCAAGTGAGTCACCCCCTTTCCTTTGGTCAGTTTGGGACTACGATGAGGTAATGCTCACCTGACCCTGAAGGGGGGTGCAAAGGCAAGAGGGAAGAGAGAACATGATAAAAGGGAGAGATACTTGCCATGCTCTTCCTCTCTCTTCCACCTCCATCCACAGACACCACCACCAAGCGACTGAAGCGCTGATCAAAGGGGAGAGCCTGGCTGAAGGGCAACCAGACAGCCTGTGGTGAGAAGCATCTAAGTTTGTAAGGGCATTGAAAGTGTTAAGATCAGCTTACAATGCGTTTTGCTTTTATTTCATTTGACCAAATCTGACTTATGCTTTGATTTATAATAACTTAAAATCTATCTTTATAGTTAATAAATCTGTTTATTCTACCTGAAGGAGTGCGTTTGGTTTGAAGCGTGTCAGAGACTCCCCTTGAGAGAACAAGCCTGGTACATATCAATTTCTTTGTTAAATTGATGAACTCATATAAGCTTGCAGCATCCAGCGGGCATAACTGGGCACTGCAAGACGGAGGTTCCTAGGGTTGTGTCTGGGACCAGAGATATTGACTAGTGTCATTCGGTTGCAAGTAGCTGGGAGCAGCTTACATGCCAAAGGCTGTCTGTGAACAGCCCAGGAGTGGGGGTGCTCACAGCAGAGCAGGGTAAGGTTGGCTCCCAGAGTCAAGGACTGGAGTGACCTACCAGATCACCAGTCCACACAACACCAGAGGGGAACGTCACACAGTCACTGCATTTTTAAAACTAGCATTTGAAAACTCTACTTCCTGTTTACTGGTGATACTTCTGCAGATTCATTTTTCAGGCTATTTCAGCTATATGGACTATGCTTTTGAAAACAAGGAAGCTGTGCAAAATCTAGATTTACCAAGCATCAGAATCTTGCAATCATTTTTTTTTTTACTTTATGAAATCATTTTGGATCATTATTTGCTTTTCAGTATACAGTATCTTAATTTTTAATCTTCATTAACAGAAACAGTTACTGTATTGTTTCTTCAGAAAAGAGCCTGAAGTAGATGGACAATATGTATAACAAATGTGCTGCAGATCGAAACATGACTTCATCCACATCGGACTTGGGTTCAAAATTTTCATTGGTTACAATGGTATTTCTGGGAATTCTTATGGGTTTGATAGCTCTTATTACAGTGCTTGGAAATGGCTTGGTCATCCTGGCTTTTTTGGTGAACAAAGATCTTCGGCATCGGAGTAATTATTTATTTCTTAATCTTGCTATTTCAGACTTTTTAGTGGGTAAGTTACGATAATGAAGCAAATGTAATATTCATTTTATAGTTTACGGCAAAGAAAGATTTATTTCATTATGTTGTTTCTCTTAAGCAAATTTTCTGAACATATACCTAAGATCAGATAATGGGGTGGAAGCTGCATAAAGTACTTTAGCAGGCTATTAGTTCTCAGAAATGTATTAGAAAGAGAAACCGATCTTTTAGCAATGTGAAAGATGTTTGGTCCAGAAAAGAGAGCAACTATTCTATGTAGAATGGATGTGAAACCATTGCTGCCTAGGGGTTATTGTTTGTAACTGGTTTTAATTAACCTCCACTCATCTTTAAAACTTGGAATTTTTGCTTTTCATCATAGATTGTCAGATGGAGCACAGTATATGTTAACCAGTAGATCTTGTATATATTGCAAATTCCATTCAGTTTTTCTGTATTTGGTTGAAATTAACTAGTAGCCAAAAGTTTAAGAATTACAAATTATTTTTTCCAGGAGTACATACGCTACATCATTCCATTTACTGAGTCAGCCAACTGACTAGCGCTAGGCAGTTTTTGCAAGTATTCTACTGTTCATCTCTGTATCTGGCTGCAGGCTTAAGGACATATGAAAAGAATAAATAATCAATTATTAATCATTTCAGCGGGTTGATGCCACACACACACACACACACACATGCACCTTTTAAAAAACTATGCTTGAAATAAATTTAAATTGATTGTTGGAATCCAAAATTATTCCACTATAGCATTTAAACAAATATGTAGAAGAGTTATCATTGGTAGAAGATAATTAAATCATTGTAAACGCAGGACAATAGTTTTTAACCAGAGTTAATATTTCAAGAATGTTAAATATTTTTTGAAGGCACAACTGAATTTTCTGTAATTAACATATTTACATCCTGCTTATTTTACTTAAGCAATAACACAAGATCAGCAATGAAGTTCTGGGTGATTGTTGTATGCCTCAGGTGGTATTCAGAGGCATGAGGCTGAAGACCTAGGGCTACAGCCACAAAAAGGATATAAGCTCCTCGCTGCAATGCCTGTCTTTAGGTGTCCTGCTGCCCACTGGATCCTCAGCCCCGAGTTAGGTGTCTAGGCTCCCTATACAATGCACGGGGTGAGATGGGTGCCTAGGAATGGGATTCTCAGAAGCCAGCATGCTGAGCAAGAAACCACTTAAGCTAATGAGGAGTGAAATGCTGAAGAGAGGTGTATGCTTTAAATTCCATCCCTCAAAGGGAATTAGGCACCTAAGTCTGGATCAGAGGCAGGCACCTAACTCCACTTGCGATTCACAGCTGTGAACCCCTCCTGGAGTTAGGCACCTAAACCAGGTCAGAGATTGAGAGAAACCTATCTCAGAATGCTCTATAGCCCAGTGATTAGGGCACAGAGTTATGAAACTGAGGTTCAAGTCCTTGCTCTGAATCAGGCAGAGTAAGGATCTGAGTTGCAGTCTCCCGTATCCCATGAGTGCTCTAACCACTGGTCTATTGTGTATAATTGAGGGTGATAGTTCCTCCTCTGTTTTGGACAGGGCCTGATGCAGTAGGCTTGCTTGTAGGCAGCCTCTCAAAATGCCTACTGGATCAGGCCCCATAGGTGAGGTAGGCAGGGGAATGCAGTTTCAGGATCCCAACGTGGCTTAGGTGTGAGCTGGGCATCAGAACTTAGGTAGCTTTGCACATGCGTACCAAGAAATGTAGGTGCCATGGGGACTTTGCTCATGGAAACTTAGGCACCTCAGGAATTTAGGCACCTTAAATCCCTTTGTGGATCTAGACCAGGGTTTGGCAGACTTTTTGGCCGAGGGTCACATCTGGGTATGAAAATTGTATTGCAGGCCATGAATGCTCATGAAATTGGGGTTGGGGTGCAGGAGGGGGTGAGGGCTCTAGCTGTGGGTGCGGGCTCTGTGGTGGGGCCAGAAATGAGGAGTTCAGGGTACGGGAGGGGGCTCTGGGCTGGTGTAGGGGGCTGGGGTGTGGGAGCGAGATCAGGGTTGGGGAAGGGGTGGAGGCTCTGGGCTTACCTCAAGCAGCTCCTGGAAGCAGCAGCATGTCCCCCCTCTGGCCAATGGGAGCTGCGGGGGTGGTGCTTGGGGCGGTGGCAGTGTGCGGAGCCCCCTGGCTCCCCCTAAACATGGGACCCGGAGGGGGGACATGCTGCTGCTTCCAGGAGCCTTGGCACGCGTGTGTGGAGCGGCCTCCAACCCCGGTCCCCGGCTGGAGCGTGGGAGCAGGGCAAGCCCCAGACCCTGTTCCCCAGCAGGAGATAGAGGGCAGGATTAAACTGGCTGGAGGGTTGGATGTGGCCCCCGGGCCATAGTTTGCACACCCCTGATCTAGACCCTAGTGCTCTAGTGTACTGTACTGATAAGTAAAGGAGCCCTAGGAATGCACAGTGTCATATTGCTGTAATACATTTTAAAAGGAACTAGTCTTTGCTCCTCAGAACATAACAGCATTAATGGGGATAATTTAAATGTTAGATTTATGACATACACAATATATACTCCTATAATATGCACTGTTTGGGAAGGGGTGCATTTTCAGTGCTGGGAATTAGCTGAAGAGCTCCCATTAATGGGGTTCTGGTTCTGGTCCCACCCAGACTTCAGGACCTGGAGCTATCAGGCTGGGAATGCTGTAGATATTGTGTACTCAATCCACTGAAGAGCAGGGAACACTTCTCAGCTTTCAACAGTAACCCCACTGGCCATATAAGAAGCAGTGTTTATGGACTCCAAAGGAATGGTGGCTGAGATGGCAGGTTTCAGAGACAAGAATGGGAGCATAAGTTGCTCATAAGTATTTCAGAGGGATTTAATGAGGCTTTATGCTGAGCCTCTGCCAGGAGTGAATTTCATCCCCCAAAGAATAATATAGGAGCAGTTCATGCTGTACAATTTGGCAGTGCTAATATTTGAACTACGTATTACAAACAGTATACAAATTATATGAACTATATATGTCAAAATGTGTTGCCAACATTATCCATGCACAGAATAGAGATTGATGCTAACAGACAGTCATTATTAATGTAAATTAATCAAATGGTTCTGCATGCAAATTATAGAAGTTGACATGTACCAGCTGGATATTTATTAAGAGAGACTGTAAGGACCTTATTGTGAGTTGTGTGCAACTCACTGTTTCCAACAGTATTATCATGGTCTTGTATAGTAGCATGTGTTATTTCAAGACAACTTATTTAATTTACTATGTGGTGGTAGCATCCTACCGAAATATTATCCTTCAGGAATGTGACACACTGACAGGTATTGCAGCAAATTTATATGAGTTGTAGAGGAACCATATTAATAAAAGACTTTGCAAGCATTGTCCAGTGGGATCACCACACGCACTGAAATATAGTTATAGGGCAGGAGGCAGAGTCAAAATATTTCTTTTTCAATTAATTAGAAAGCCCCCTAATTTTTAAAAAAGTAGAAACCTAATGTTAGGTTCCTAAATCCATACAGCCACCTAAACAATTGGCCTACTTTTCAAAAGTGCTGAGCACCCAGCAGCTCCTACTGAGGTGAATGCTATTTTACGTGAATAGGTGTATATATGTGTAGGGTGATCTCAATGGGATTCATGTGGCCATTCAGCTCTTTTGAAACTCAGACCACTTATGATCATGCCTAAATATGATGTAGCAGCTTAGCTGTACAGTAACTCCTCGCTTAACGTTGTAGTTATGTTCCTTAAAAATGCAACTTTAAGCGAAATGATGTTGAGCAAATCCAATTTCCCCATAAGAATTAATGTAAATAGGAGGGGTTAGGTTCCAGGGAAATTTTTTCACCAGACAAAAGACTATATATATATACACACACACACACACAGTATAAGTTTTAAACAAACAATTTAATACTGTACACAGCAATGATGATTGTGAAGCTTGGTGAGGTGGTGGAGTCAGAGGATGGGATATTTCCCAGGGAATGCCTTGCTGCTAAATGATGAACTAGCACTCGGCTGAGCCCAAGGGTTAACACATTGTTGTTAATGTAGCCTCACACTCTACCAGGCAGCACAAATGGAGGGACTGGAGACAGCATGGCAGACAGAGACACACACAATGTGGGTGAGAAGAGAGAGAGAGAGAGAGAGAGAGAGAGAGAGAGAGAGAGAGAGAGATGCGCATTAACCCTTTAAGTACGCTGACACCACTTTTTAAGTAAATCAGCAAGTTGAGACAGCAGCTGCTGCTAGCAAGCTCCCTCCATCCTGAGCCCTGTTATGTCCCCCCTTTCTCTATGGAGATGGGGTAAGTGGGGTGCAGGAGCAGGGGGGTGAGGGACACCCTGACATTAGCACCCCTCTTTCCCCACCCCTGCACTGCAGAAGGCTCCCGGGAGCAGCTCCAAGGCAGAGGGTAGGAGCAGCACATTGCAGTGAGGGGAGGGACAGCTGAACTGCCGGCAATTGATAGCCTGCTGGGCAGCTGCTGCACAGGGAACTTAGGGGAGTGGGAAGCTGATAGGGGGGCTGCCTGTCCACCCTGGTTCCAAGCCCCCACCAGCTAGCTCCAATGGGCTGCTCTTTCTGCAAGCAGTGGACAAAGCAGGCGGCTGCCAAACAATGTTATAAGGAGCATTGCGCAACTTTAAACGAGCATGTTCCCTAATTGATCAGCAATGAAACAACATTAACCGGGATGACTTTAAGTGAGGAGTTACTGTAGCTCCCATTTTTGAAACTTTTGGTTTAGGAGATTAGAGAGGGCACCATATTTTGAGTTGTCATAAATGTCCTGATGGGGGCATCTTGATTTTCAGCCCATTCCCAAGATAGCCCTTTCTGCAGACCCGTGCTTTCCATTTTCCAGTGCAATGCAGAGTCATTAGTTCACTGAACCAGGAGAAGGAGAACCTCCTACTGAGCCATCTATACCACTCCAAGCAGTGTCCAATGCATGTTCCGAATATGTAGCACCTCTTTTCATCAGAGTATTTAAGTCATTCCACTTTAGCCTTTAAAACCTTAGGTACCAGTCCTGCATCCTTTACCGATGGCATTCCATCTAATTCTGGGACTGGCATAGAGGTGAAACCAAGAGTGTCCATGTTGATATCCAGGGCATTGGACTCCACATTGACCACCCTCCCATCTGTATTTGCTGTTCCATAGCTCAGGTCTTCTGCACAGACCTGTTCTTCTCAGTGGTTGACAGTTTTTTCAGAGACTTTTGTTTCTAGGTTTAAGCAGAGAGCTCCAAGTCCCCTCAGGCTGCCTTAATGTTTCCTACTTTCCTTTCAAATTTCCTGTGGGCCTGAAATCTTCTGAGTCAGTAAGAAGTGTTAGAAACAGACAACTCACATCTTGTCCATCCTGTTTGCTAACTAAGGATGCGAAATTGCAAGTGAGGACACCATTTTCAAACTTATATGTGTAAAGATAGGTTCTTAACTCCATATCGAGACATCTAAATAAAAGTAACCTGATTTTTCAGAGGTCCTAAGCATCATCTAATCCCATTGAAGATGATGAGAAGTACAGGTGTTCATCATCTTTGAAAAGCAGACTTAAGTGCCTACATGTGGTTTTAGGAACCTAAATTTAGGTTTAGCATGGATGTTGAGATTGCTTCATGTGTGTTCCAGTCTAATACCTTATCAGCTCAGTGCCAAAAAGGGGATTATGATCAGTGGAAAATGCTAGGCTGAGTATGTATAGGAAACTATAAAATCTTTTTATCTTTTGTTGTTGGCTCCGTTCACTGTTCCCAGCCAATGAGAGCTGCGGGAAGTGATGGGCCACAGGGATGTGCTGGCTGCCGCTTCCCGGAGCTCCCATTAAACGGGATCGGTGAACCACGGCCACTGGGAGCTGCGGGGGGCCGTGCCTGTGGATAGTCAATGTCAGCACAATGTCTCGCGGCCCGCGATCAGATTACCCTGATGGGCTGTATGTGGCCTGTGGGCCGCAGGTTGCCCACCACTGGCTAGCTACTCTTTCCTTTAAGTTGTGATCAAAGTCTGGAAAATACTAATAATAAGTGCTATATTATGCCTGCCAGAGCATTAACAGTGCATAAAAACATTGTGGAGATCAAGTGTAAGGAACCCATTAACTAATTTCATGAGAACACAAGAACTTCAATCTGTAAATTCCAATCTGACGTTTTTTTAATTGGGTACCACAAAAATTGTTCTGTGTTCTTGTTAGTACACCTCTACCCCGATATAACGCGACCTGATATAACACGAATTTGGATATAATGCGGTAAAGCAGAGCTCCAGGGGGGCGGGGCTGCGCACTCCAGTGGATCAAAGCAAGTTCGATATAACGCGGTTTCACCTATAACACGGAAAGATTTTTTGGCTTCCGAGGACAGCGTTATATCGAGGTAGAGGTGTACCATCTGCAGTCCTGACTATAACAACTTGATTGTTTATTTATGATTTTTCTCTATAGGTGCATTCTGTATCCCCCTGTATATCCCTTACATCCTGAAAGACAAGTGGATGTTTGGAAGACCTCTCTGCAAACTCTGGCTAGTTGTAGACTATCTTATGTGCACAGCTTCAGCCTTTAGCATCGTCCTTATCAGCTATGATCGGTTCCTGTCAGTTACTAAAGCTGTGAGTAGAACATTCATAGTTAGCTTTGCATGTCTCATGATGTTTAGATGTAATTGTGTATTTATGATAATACTTAACACTTATATAACACTTTTCATCCATAGATTGGAAGGTACTTTACAAAGGTGGATAAGCATTATCCAACAAAGAATTTAAGTGACTTGTCTAAAGTCAATTAGTCAATGGCAGAATTGGAAATAGATTTCCAGACTCCCAGGCCAGTGACTTTGGCTAATCTAAATTATAGGTGGCACATGTAATAATGCCTATAGTTAAGGTTGCCTGACATTATAAGATCCTATTTTCATGTAACTTATAACTTTGCCAAACTTTTGCCATCCAGGCTGAAGTTTTCTGTGTTGGCTGTCTTCCTCAGGGTGAATTTTTTTGCTGATGTTGAAAGTTTCAGCTAACAGTTCAGTCATTTCTCAGAATAAGGATAGGGATAATACTTTGTTTTGACAATGATAAAATTTTTTTTGAGTGTTTCGTTCAGAAGCTCTAGCTCCTCCGTTCATTGGAGCAGAAACTTGAAATTTGGTATGACGGTTGCCCGACTTTCAGGAGTGTGTTTTTTGCTATTCCTGTGAAAATTGGTCCAACTTAAGAGCCTCTGAAAATCTGTTTGCACAGGCTCGGTAGAGAATTGTTAGTTTGGCAACTAAATTCTCTGACAATTCCATCTACAGTGAACATCTTGCAGGGGTGGAGCAGGTCTTTTACTGCAATTGCTGCATATGGACGCTGGGAGTAGGCCTGCCCAAAACCAAAGGCCCACACCCTCTGCTAAGAGGGAGGATTGGAAGGTGTGTAGTGAATGGGGCAGGTGATGGCAGGAATAGAAAGGAGGGTCTCCCAGTTAAGGCAGTTGAATGCTGTCCTGGGAACGTGGATTCTATCCCTGCCTCTGCCACAGAGCTCATATGTGATACTAGGCAAGTCACTTACACCAGACTTTTCACAGGTGGTCACTTAACTGTGTATTCTTCACTGTCTGTGTCCCAAACTGAGACACCTGGGATCTGATTTGCAGAGTCCTGAGCACTCACAGCTATAGCTGAAGTCAATGGGAGCTGTACTTTGAACAAACAAAGTATTATAAAATGGACGGTTCTCTGAAAAAAAAAATCAGTCCATAGGCACTTTGGACTGTGCACCCAAAATTGGATACTTTTGCCATTGTCTCTGTGCCTCAGCTCCCCATCTGTAAAATCGGAATAATAATAATACTGTCTCACTTCCCAGGTGAAGCACTCAGATATAGTGATTAGCACCACAGACAAGCCCATAAGGAAATTACTAATTCTGTCTTCAGAGCAGGGTTTGAATAGTGTGCAGTAAATACGGCCTGGGGCCAGTCACTGAAAAATGAGGAAAAGCCCCCCCCCCCAAAATATTGAAAGCTGCTCATTCAGGAAATATCATACATCCTGTGCACTGAGTGAGTTGGGGTCCTGTGGAAAAAATAGTGTGAGATAATGTTATTAAAGACTATGTCATAATGCTTACACACAAGGGATCTGAATTGAGGTTGCACTGGCAACTTTTTTTGCTGCTGGATACTTAAAAAAAATAAAATGTGGTAAGGCATAAAAATCTAAACAACTAAAGGAATCTGAGCGGCCATTTAAATGATAAAGAAAGTACCATAACACAACATCTAAATGATTGAATTTCCTTCCTTTAAGAAATATAAGGAGATCTGGGGGCGGGGGGATACATTTTATTCTATGGCAAAGAAAAACAAATATTCACATTTAGATACTATCTAGTGCTTGGAAGCAGTCATGGTTACTTTTCTATTACAGTGGGAGTAACCCTCCACCCCCAACTCTTAGTTCACCTCTGAGATTCAATGTTTTCATGAATCAGAAGCTGACTCCTGGTTATTTCCTTATTGTAGTGGTGATGCCATCAAACCATTTCTATTACTCATTCATTCATTCCAGTGGATGGTGTATCCATCTCAAATTTCCCACCAAATCTCAAGCATACAGTAGGCTATAGTGCTTGAGCCCAAGATTAATAAAGTTTTTCAGGGCTTTATATAAACACAGATGTTCCGGACATCTGGAGACCTACAGTACAAATATTATTCTTAATTTCCCAGAAGTTTTTACAAAGTACTTATACTAGTTATAAAAAGAACACAATGTGTGACTGACATGGGGTCTTTTAATTTTACTTCTAGGTGACATATAGGATTCAACAGGGAATGATGTCAAAGACTATTGTTAAGATGGTGGCAGTCTGGGTCTTTGCATTCTTAATCTATGGCCCTGCAATCCTCATTTGGGAACATGTGGTCGGCAACAGCATCATACCCGATGGAGAATGCGACGTTGAATTCTACTACAACTGGTACTTTCTCCTGTGTGCCTCAACCTTTGAGTTCTTCACACCTTGTATCTCTGTGGCCTATTTCAACATGCGCATCTACTGGGATATACAAAAACGCAAGAGAAACAGGCTCCTGAGCACAGTCAGCATCAGCAAACAGGTGTCTGTACCTCCAACAGGAAAGAATGTCTTGATGGCTGACCATTGCTCTTTGAAGGAAGAAGCTTCTTTTCCTGATTCAGAAACAGAGGACAGTCTTTCTACTACTTCCAAGACACAGGTGCAGTCACAGGTGACTGACAGTTCACATCGGTCCAGAGGCTATTCCATAACCCCTGACAATGATCAGTCAGTAGCCCTCAGAGTGAATACCAGGTCAAAATTGAACAGGGACAAAAAAATTGCTAAGTCACTTGCCATAATTGTCTGTGTCTTTGCCATTTGCTGGGCACCATATTCATTACTTATGATAATTCGCGGAGCCTGCTGTGGAGAGTGTGTCAACGAAATCTTGTATAATATAACATTTTGGCTTTTGTGGCTTAATTCCTCTGTAAATCCTTTCCTCTACCCTCTCTGCCATGTTAGGTTTCGGAAGGCTTTCATGAAAATATTGTGCCCAAAAAGGTTTGTGATATAGCCACCAGCCCTGTCAGTCTCTTCTTAGACAGCCAACTAAAAGACTTACAACAGAAGCTCCTCCACCTTATTTTAGTTTAGCTTGTTCTGATCTCATTTTCAATAATATAGTAGATATGTTTGTTTCATAGATGGCATTAGTCAAGGATGCAATATGTAAATTTGCCAATAGTTTGATAATTTTCAGTGCATTAGTTTCCTTTTCTCTTGATAGTATCATGTTAAATTCAACAGCAACTTTTGCCTCATTGTGCACTATTCCTTTAATTTATGAATTTTATTCACAGAGCAGGATCCCTTTCTTTTATTAATACCGTTTATTTAAAATTGAGACAACACAAGGCATATATTTTCAAAGGCCGCTACAGAAGTGTCCCTGGGAAAGAGACTGTGGAAGCAAAATTAAAGCAAGGCAAATGTTTTAGTCAGGTTTAAGGATAGAGTGAAGTATAACCCTAACCCTAATAACGCAAGAGTTGTAAGAGATGCTGCTTCACGCCTCACTTGTCGCCTGGCTTTAGTTGATAAGAATGGAATGCTGATTTAAGGAGAAACCTTGAGACAAGGTAGTGTCTGGAGGGAGTTTGTATAAACAAAGGATAACCATTAGCCGATTGATGTATGCAAGGGGAAGGTATAAATGCTTGTCTTATGCTGCTTGTAGAGTGAAGATCTGCCTAAGGTCAGGGGGGCCCCCTCTCCGACCTCAGGCTTCCATTGCAATTGCTCGCAATAAACTGTTTCTGACTTGTTGCTAACAAATGCAGAGTGAGGACTGGCTTTCTTCCACTATTTGGTGCCATGACTTGGATACAGCGGCAATCACTACGGACCGTTCCTCTTTGAACCCCAGGCACCAGACAAGAGGTAAGAGACCTTTTGAAATCTCTAGTGGGGTTCGGAGGAGGACTGCCCGTGGGGCGTCTGTCCCTCTCGGGTTCACACCATGCGAACGTATTGTTTTTGCAACAAGGACAGATGCAAAGCGGTGTTGAGGAGATTGCCACCTCACATAAGGAAAAGGTTATGATAAGTCTGGACGTAAGGAATTAAGGTTATGGTTAAATGAGATGTATCCAGGTATGGGGGAAATTAATAAGACTGAGTGAATGAGTGACGAGTGAATGCCGTTGACCAGGTCTAAGACTTAAGCTGACTCCAGCCGCCCCAGGGCTACCCCATGCTGGAGTTCTGAAAGCAAGGGTGGTCAGCCGAACCTTGTGACCCAGCAGAAGTTTTTCCTTGCCAAGTCTGCTGACCAGGTCTGGGACTTTCCCCAGAGTGTGAGAGAGCAAAAGTCTTCCCTTACTTATTTGCTGACCAGGTCTGGGACTTAAACTGACTCCAGCTGCCCCAGGGCTACCCCATGTGGGAGATCTGAAAGCAAGGGGAGTCAGCGGAACCCCGTGACCCAGTGAACTTTCCCTGAGTGCCTGAAAAATGGGTAGTGGTGAGTCTAAGAATATTCCCACACCGCCGAAAGGCACCCCTGCCTACTACATGTACGTGCATTATGTCCTAGGACTTGTAAGCATCTAGATAACTGGAATTTTTACACGCATGATAATCCATCTAAACAGTTTCCACTAGAAGGTACCTTCGATTTAGATAAGATCATACATCTTAGAGGAGCTCTTGAATCACCAAAAATTGTAGGAATGTGTTGCTCCCTAATCACAAGCCTTGAAGAACGGCAAACTGTTCCCTTGGCAATGAGGCAGGAGTGACCTTGTTCTAGCGCCTATGTTTGGGAAACTTATTTGGCTGATTTGATTGTTTCCTCGCAGCTGGT